CAGGGTACGTAATGGTATAGACAGTCCTCAGCGTACTATCTACGTGCGGTGAAAAAAAATGGCTATGAAACCAGTATCTGTCAACTACTCACCATGACGTTGTTTTCGCAGCTGAATCAAGCGCGAAACGAGATGAATCGGAAGTCGAAGAAGGTCCTCGGAAGGGAGATGATGACGGAGACGATGATGTGCGTGCAAGTTTTGGCGCATCTTCCCTGTCGGATATGGGCATCATCGATCGAGTTGACGAAGGCATCATTCACGGCAGAAAAGGTGGAGATCGCCCTGAATAAGCTGTTCGGTGACAAGTCCAAGAAAGCGATTGTCGGTCAGAATGAACCGGGTTCGGTGACCTGCATCAATTATGTGAAGAAGGGAACCAAGAAGCGTAAGTCGCATGTCAACCCTGTGTTCAAGGTCAAGGGTGTTTTTACTGCTTCAGCGAAGGGCATCAGAAGGCCTAGTGCGAGTGCATGAAGACGGATCGGGACCCAACTCGCGAAGGTGGATCAATCTTTAGGACCAACATTCAGGCTCAACCGTCGAAAAGGACGCCAAGCACCGTCAAAAAGATTGTCACGGTTCAGTATGTGGTCAAGAAGCAAAAGCCAACCCACGAACCACCAACGGATGTCGAAATGGATGATGAATTCAAGATGTCAGAGACCGATAAAAGTGACTCGGAAATGGACAACGGGGAATGTCTTTTGACTTTCGGACAAGTGGACCCAATGGTACGTAAGAAATATGGTTCATATTTAAGTTGGTTACGTCAACTAACAGTTTCGGACGATCTGTGGATTGTTGATACAGGAGCTGGGTGCGGCATAAGCTCGGACAAAAGCTGGTTCGAAAGCTTACACTAGGTACCAGCCACAGATTTGAGTATGGTAATGGTAGCACGTCAGAGACTACCTTAACTGGTTCAATACAAATGCATGTTGCAACCCCAACTCATAAGTCATTACGCTTGAAAATAAGAAGCATTGCTTTTGACCGTCAATGCGGGAGTAATTTAATTAGCGCACGCTATTTGGCTTAGCAAGGGTATAATCACGTGCAATCTCGGGATGGGGAATTTCTGTACTTTTTCAGTGATAATAGTCAGCTTCTATTTGCAGCAGTACAAAAGAGAGCGGTGTATTATTTGCCTTCATCTAAGCATAGTAAGGTCAATACAGTGAGCAAGATATATTCTACAGAACAGAGAATTGCCTTAATGGAAAAGCGGCACCTCAGATTAGGTCATATACACAAGGCCAGACTAATGGCAATCTTTGCTCATCAATTGGTGAGTGGAATACCTCGGATACCACAATCTGATCTTAAAATCTTCCATTTTTTGCACTATATGTGAGGTTGCGAATTCTACTAGAATGTCGTACCGCAATAAAATTGGGTCACGCGTTAAACAGCCATTGCATACCTTGCACATGGACACTATGGGAAAGATGAAAGTGGATGAAACGTATGGAGGAACTGGATATCACTATACGTTAACGATTGTAGACGATGCTACATCTTATAAGTGGATTTACGTGATGAAATCAACAAAAGAAGTGTACACACATGTTGTAAATTTGGTTTTGCTACTCAGAAAGCAGTTTAATCAATACACAGTGAAAAGAATTAGAAGTGATGGCGGTACTGAACTCGTTAATCAGAAAATGAAAACGTTTTTTCGGTCAAGAGGAATACTATTTGAGAAATCAAATGTAGAAAGTCAGGAAGAGAACGGTAGTGATGAGAGATGTCATCAAACACTGATGAGACAAGTTAGAAGTTCGCTTTTAACAGCAGCCATGCGAGCCCGCTGGTGACCAGAAGCGAATAAATATGCGGCGGAAGTGTCGAATAGTTTGCCGACGTCTAGACTTGGCAACAGCTCACCATATGAGGCACTTCATGGTAAGAAATCTGACGGTAATATTCTTCAGATATGGGGCAGTACATGCTATGTCCATATACCTAGTACAAGGCGAACAGATAAAAAAAACTAGGGTCAAGAGGTCTAGAATGCAAATTTCTTGGTATTTCGGAAGACAATAATGGCTGTCGTCTGCTGGATACAGTCAACAAAATGCCTTTGGTGTCACGTAGTATACGGTTTGACACGACCGATCAGTTAGCAGCGATAAGCAGGCTTTTCCCCAACGAAATCACCAACTCACTACTGCTGAGACAGAAGCTATAATGGTCTGTACAGGTAGTCTGTTCCACAATGTCAATAGCACTATTCGCAGACTTCCACATGTGGGAGATAGTGTAGCTGTGGGAGCTGAGTACGACCAAATACGGCCTGGTGAGTCACCGATCAGTCAGGATGACATACAATTGCGCAGAGCCATGGAAGGGCCACCACAGGTACCTATTTCAGATAGAGTTAGAAAAGACGAAGACTTTGTTGATATACGACCGCGCTCGCAGCGCAAAAGGCAGCGAAGTACGCGGTTAAGCGGGTATGAAGTCACTATTAATTCGGTGCTAGGTGTTAGAGCTAGCATAACCCGCATCCCAATTCGGGATTCACTAAAGAAGGCGATAGCACGGCCATATCAGGAATCTTGGTTGGGTGTACTCGAGACTGAATACCAGGCACTAATGGCCAATAAGATATGGAAAATGGTAGATTTACCAAAAGGAAGGAATGCATTAAGGTGTCATTGGGTATTAGATGTGAAATACCATGCCGATGGATCTGTGGATCGGTTCAAGGCAAGACTAGTTGTAAGAGGGAATCATTAATAGTACGGGATTGATTACGGTGAAATATTCTCATCCTTTGCCCGATATGAGTCTTTGCAATTAGTTCTAGCAATTGCAACAATTGAAAATTACCACATCTACCAAATGGATGTCTCCACAGCGTTCCTGAATGGATATTTATCGGAGGAAATCTATTCCACCAGTGTACTGTGGTGTAGTGATTTCCAAGTAATCGCTGAAGTGGCTACATTCAAGTTGCTCAAGCTCCGAACTCTCGGTCATGCGACAGGTGGTGACCACGGCG